ACTATTCCAAAGCAAAATAATGGGGGGGGGGGGAACAGAGTAGAAGCTTCTAATTAAAGAAACATTCTAAGTAATTGCAAACAGGGGCACAATGGGAGGTAATGTGAGGAACAAAACAGACAATGCATAGATAGATTAAAGAAGACAAAAGCAATGAATAGTAGCCCATTTGTTTGCGGCTGGTGCTCGGTTAGAAAAAGGAAGAGAGGGAGGCAAGGATGCTCTTTGTTTAATATTCAGCTCAGTCATTTATTTATTGATCTCGAAGAATTTATAGAAACAGGAAGTGCCCCAAATGGCACAGAGCTTCATTTACCTGTCTTGAAAACTGAACCATTTATAGACAAGCCAAAAATTTAACTAAAATATTTTTAAATTCAATTTAATCAAGCTATTGGTGTCCAATGATTTCCTAGTGAAATCCACTCACTGATTTATTTGTGGTAATCCATTTGTAATAATAGCAAGCATTACAATGAAATATTGTAAAGCTCAGATCAAACTAAGTGAGTTCAAATCTGTTGAGAACAACCAATATTTATCATTGCCATGAAATGGTATGCTTCCCACTGCAAAGATTACTCAGCTATGATAGTTTGATTTTCTTGTAAATCATTGCACACATCAAAGCTCCATTTTTAAAACAATGCTAAAGACATCAGCACTGTAGCAGTTTGTGCCTTTTTCCATTTTATTTTTTAAAAGAGAGAGAGAGAGAGAAAAGGCAGATAGAAAAATAACAGGAAAAATGTATGATAGTGTGATAACAGTTATATGGATGTCCCATAAAGGCTGAATGCATAGTAATTCATTAAAACTTTTGTATACAAAGGCCATTAATTGCAAATAAGGAATATTATATTGTATTACATTACATTAAGGTCTGAACTGGTATTAATAATGAGAAGAACATCAAAAGTAGAATCAAATCCTGAACTGGAACTTGACATAATGGAAGCGGTTATCAAAAGCTGTAGTTAACATAAACTGCATTAATGATATCTATATGACCTGTGGTTCAGATTTAGCAGCCTACCCAACCCCACATCCCCTATTAATCTGTTAAATCAAGGATTTATTGCATTGCATATTGTTTTCCATGGATGAGTAGACTGCCACGAGTAGATCCCTTCTTCTTCTAATATAGCTGTAATTTTAAAAGTGATATTTTCACAGATTTATATATCAGAATCGTTTTCTGTCTACACCAGTGTTTCTCAACCTTAGGAACTTTAAGATGTGTGGACTTCAACTCCCATTCTGGGTGGGGGTTTCTGGGTGTTTGAGTCCACACAACTTAAAGTTCCTAAGGTTGAGAAACACTGGTCTACACCATCTAAGTCCTGTAAGCCATTTAGTAAATTTCAAATTACTCTTTTTCTTATTTATCTGACCTACACTCAAGATTAAACTACTGACAAGGTTTTTGTATGTTTTT